TGAGGAAAGGCTGAGGGAGCTGGGCTTGTTCAGCCTGGAGAAGAGAAGGCTGCGAGGGGACCTTAGAAATGCTTATAAATATCTGCAGGGTGGGTGTCAGGTGATGGGGCCAGACTCTGTTCAGTGGTGCCCAGCGACAGGACAAGGGGCAATGGGCACAAACTGAAGCAGAGGAAGCTCCAGCTGAACACGAGGAAGAACTTCCCTCTGAGGGTGACGGAGCCCTGGCCCAGGCTGCCCAGGGAGGCTGTGGAGTCTCCTTCTATGGAGATGTTCAAGACCCACCTGGACGCGGTGCTGTGCAGCCTGCTCTGGGTGACCCTGCTTGGGCAGGGGGTTGGGCTGGGTGACCCACAGAGGGCTCTTCCAACCCCAACCATGCTATGAGTTTGTGATTCCTGTTTCCTGTCCTGTGCTTTCCCTGGCCAAGGGCAGGACCTCACCTCATCGCCTGTTCCCAGCATCTCTGCAAGCACCACACGGCTTTGCGGGAGTGCTGCTGGCTGCTCGGTGCATACCCTGGCAGTGCTGCCCTGTGGCAGCCTGCGTGCCAGTGATAACCTGTGCCTCTCTGTCTTCTCTGCAGCCCTTGCCACAACCCCGCCACCTCTCCTGGTTGTGCACTGCAGCCAGACCATCTATGGATGCTGCCCAGACAACATGACCTTGGCGCTCGGAGTGGGTGCAGCTGGATGCCCAAGTGAGTGAACGTTGTGTTCCCATCTGGGGGGGCATGAAGAACCTTCAAGGACAGCTGGAAGGCGGGAGAGATCAGGTGGAGGAGGGGAGATGTGGGCTCCCATCCCAGGGGAAACAAAGGGAAGGTGGACCCTCCCCGTTCCTTAGCTAACTAGTGACCTGCCAGGCTCAAAAAGCCTCCGTTTATCCCCAGCTCCAGGCTGGCAGCGTGCACAGATGGAGATGTGCACGTGTGCTTCACCTTCTGTATCTAGTAGTGATGCTCTTGTCCTTTTAAAAGCCCAAAGTCAAATTCCTGGCCTTAAGTCCCTCTGAAATTCAAGAAGACGGGGTGGTGGCTCAGGACTTGTCTGGTGCTGAGTCCGTGCTGGATGCCCCCAAAGGTGCTCCTAGGGCCAGACTGTGCCTTCTGTGCCTTCAACTCGTTGCTAGAGGCTTAGAGCTTTTCACCAGCACGGGTGACAAAAATACTGCTTGCATCCTTGCACTGCGGGCTGAGGTGGAACCAGAGCTTTGGGGTTCACCTAGGGACCCACTGCAGGCCACCCCAGGACCTAGCGGGTGACTGCGCTGTGCTGGAAGCTGAGCTGGGCAGTGTTTCATTAATATTTATTAAATAATTATTGGAGTCAGCACTTTAGCAGAAGGGGTGTTTTGAAAGGCATTAGCAAACTCCGAACAGCTGAGGCTGTGACCGCCTGTTAGGGGAACACATTACCCACAGAGACACGATGCGCCTGGGCCTGGCTGATGCCTGCTTGGGGAGGACGTGGTGCCGTTTAATGTGCCATGTAATTTAAAAAGCAGCAGCGTTCTGAGAATGTCCAGAGATCCCCGGGGTGGGCTGCAGGCTGGGGTGGCAGGGCTGTGGGCTCTGTGCTGGCCGGGGGGCCAGCTGAGCAGGGGGGGAGCTGGGGAGGAGACGAGCATTTCGCCTTCAGCATCGCCCTGCCAGCGGCGGGTGGTAGTGATGTTCCTCTGTGTCTCTGATGGAAGTCCTGTCCCCTGTCCTGCAATCCATGGACACAGCTTCCCACTGGCTGGGATTCAGCAGCCCACCAGTTTCTGTCCCACCTGTGTTGGCAGTGAGCATACATCAGGAGGTAATTATCACTCAACCAGCAGCTTGGAGCCCCTAGGGCAGATTTATCCCTTGCTGCCTGCTCTGGACACGCCATTTCCCTGCCTCGGGCAGTCTGGGGACGTGTGCGTGCACCCTACGTGCTGCTCCTGACGTCTCCCTTCCTCTCCAGCTCTGCCCCATGTCCCCTTTCTACTGCTCCCTGGGGAGAAAGGGAGCGTCTCTCTGTCTATCTTTGGATCATTTCCCTCCATCAAGCTCCCAATTAATGAATTAATAATCAACTTCTAATAGCTTCCTCCCCCTTTGATGTTAATGAGAGAGGAGATCTTGACGACAGCAAAGCCAGCGGGATAATCCCTGCAGGTTTAGTTCCCCCTTGTAGCTGGGGCAGAGGAGAAGTGTTGAGAGCAGCTGGTGAAGCCTCCTCCTGCTCGCCATGAGACCACGTTCCTGCCCTGGCTGGGCGGCTCGGTGGCTCAGCGGCCGGTC